ACTACCAGTAAATCAGTAGTATGAGATGTATTCACCCAATTTCGTGTAAGGTCATGAAGGACTGGTAGAAGAAGAATTCTCCCACAATGATATGAGTTGAGCTGACGTTTGCATTCAATTTCACATAGACTTCCTCATCCAGAAAGGAGTGGAAGACAATTTCAGCCTATTGAACGGAAACGTCAGCTTTACTCATATGATTGTGGGAAAATTGATCTTCTACCAGTCCTTCATCACCTTAAACGAAATTGAGTGAATACATCTCATATAACAGATTCACTTTATACATTAATATTCCCATGAGACTATTCCTGCAGAATAAGCAACAAAGTTTAGTCTTTTTGCTCATACTCCTACTTCGTCGTTGTTCAACTATTGCTTGACTCCATCATAGGTACTTCTTCATGCCGGGTTGAAAGAGCGGAAGCGTCGTATGAAAGAGGTGTCATTAGTCCAACACATAATTTCATTCCACATTTGTCTGAGACAAATGGAAAAACAAGCACAAAATTGCCACATCGCATCAACAATAGAGACCAATTTAGTGCAGCCTTTGAACTGTTCTGTCGGCAAAAAGCCTTTCCCCGCCAACATACACACCGACGGCTTCTGAGTCAACCGCTAAAGTTAGGCCCAAATTAGTGCCCAAATCAGTCAATATCCAGAAGTTGGTGCATCTCAACATGGACGATTGCAAAAACATGCCAAGTTCGAATATAAATACCGGGAAATGCAAAAGGAAATTCCAGCTATTAAGCGTGTACCTTCTTTCGCTGGTGCATATACGCAAACGCTCGCACACATAAATACCTACATGCATACATACATATACACATACATGCATACTTTTATGCATAGATTGAAATAAATGTGCACGATCCCGAATAATCTAGCCGCATTCAAAACTCCATCTCTGGCGCAGCATCTTCGCTGTATCGACAATTCTTTATATCTCAATTACTGTCAGAACCTGTACCTATTTCTAACCATTTTACCCAATCGACAAGCCAAGAAATGGAAAATCAAGATTCACGCAGTAAATAAAGTAACTATCATGAAGTGAGATGTTATGCTTCAAAAGGCATCTTCTTTTCATTTGATTGATTTACCAATTCATTCTTTAAATCACTTTAAGAAATGTCTATTGTCTAGACGTCCATGATACGTCATCAGAGTCCCATCTTAATGAGGGTTGTTTTTGTTTCGAAATACCTGCGAAGATGAGAATTTCGATAATGTAGAAAAGCATAACTCCCGATTGCAGGGAAACTGCGTGTTTGGAGTATCACACGACCACTCTAAGAGCCTCTTCTCAGAGCCATCAGAGGGACTCTCACGATCTACACGATGACAGCAGAATTGACATAAAAAGGAGACCTCAGCGACAAGTACTTCTCGGCCACTCCTATCATGATGCCAACTTACTCTTAGAATCGCAGAAGCGGGAGTATGCCAATTTGTTGACGTCATCTCGGTTCGGCTTAAATGTCTATTAATTAACTGAGATTGTTTAATCGAAAATTATAAAAACAAAGCTAGTCTGGCTTTGGATTGTTGAGCTTACTTCCATTTCGAGTAAAAGTGTTGGGTGAAGAGATTCGAAGGTCTGTTTCACCAGAAGACGACGAAGGAACCGACATTCAACAATTATGAAACAATAGATTCCTCCAAACCCAACTCTTCTTCGCATGGCTTTGGTATGGCTGACCTCGTTTTCGCAACTAGGCCCTGTTGTCAGGACAACTTAGTTGGACGCATATGAGATGCATTCAGCCAATTTCGTTTGCGGTGATGAAGAACTGGTAGTTGCATTTACCTACAATCATTAGTATATCCCTTAAGGTGTTTTCATCCCGAGTGGAATAAAGTTTAGACCTCGCTCAGGTCTTAGCAACAGTCTCAGCGGGAGACGAACCGTAACAGTGCAGAATGCAACCTTGAAACGTTAACTAATGCACCACATTGCCACCACGTATACACTTGCGTCACAGAGCAAATGTGAATTTCAAGGAAGGATAGGCATTTTTCCATACCACATTATGTGGTGGGTTGTCGATGAAGCAAAGTTGTATTTGTCATAGCGATCGAACTGATTACTCATTTTTCGTTAATGAGTAGGTTCTCGAGGCTAACGGCAAAACAGTTATGTCTCGAAAGTCTACTTATACACGAAAAATGAGTAGGCCAGTCGATTGCTATTGCAAATAAAACTTTGTCTCATCAACAATCACACCAAAAGATGTGATGCGAGAAAAAGCCTGGCCTACCTTGAAATTCCCATCCGGACTTGTGGCGTGGCAATGTGGCGTAGGAGTTAGCGTATCGAGATTACACACTCTATTGTCATGGTTCGACCCCCACTGGAGGTGTTGATAAGACATAGGCGAGGCTGAAACAGAAGAACACAATTTTGGAAAGGAAGGATGAGTGAAAGTCACTGGAAGCGTCAGATCTATTCGTCTGATTAAGGGAAAATTCACCTACCAGGCCGTCATCACCTAAAACGAAATAGGGTGAATATAATTTAAATAAATGATTTACTGGTAGTCTGGAGAACCTACTTATAAGCAAAGTCCTCCGATATCATAATAATTCCAGCATATGACCGTGGATTTAGTACATTCTCAGACAATTAGCCGACATCGCCAGTTAGTTTTGCCATTCTCCCCACAAAGCCTTAAACTTGTCAAAGAGACAAGTGAAATCAATCGCTTGACCAACTTTCTGCCGAAACGGTCTACTACCATTATTCTTTCTGTCCTGGCCGATCTATCTACTCCATACCTTTTTATTACACTCCCATTCTATCACAACTTCTGACTTGTTTATATTCCGCTGCTCAAAAGATGTGCCCTTTTTGGCGATTTTAGTGTGGCGTCTTCACACCTGCGGTTCACCTTGCCCGCATATTATTCGATTGGTTGATCCGACTCGAGCATCCCATCCGGATCTCCTTCATGGGCCCGTAGATCCGGTTCCAGTCCCAGTGTACGTTATACTCCCGGCGCTATTCCTCAAGTGTTCCATAGTGCGTACACTGTCCCCTCACAGACCTGAGCGCCTAGGCTATGATTCCCATATTTGCAGATATCATACATGGTTTCCATAGGCCATCTCCCTGATTCAACTTGTGTAGTCTGAGCAAATTGTGCATGTCCATCTCTGGTCATCTGCTACCTATCGAGTGGGTTTCTAGTCAATATGGTTTTAATGACGAATTTTTTTGGCGGGATAGGTTAAATGAGATTTTTAACCAGGCCTCCATTTAAAGGTTAGGCGAATCCTATGATATAGATAGGAATAAGTTATTTAAATTTGTATAAATTAAGTCAAAGCTCTGGTGTGATTTGGCCAGGATTCTGACTCCGGAATATTTTCAAAAAGTCCAAAGTATGGTCGACAAGAAGCCACGTAGGATTTATGACTTAATAACAAAAAGACACGAAAATAAATTGTTTACGTATGGAATAATAATAA